GACAATATGTTTATCCACAAGCTAGGTCAAATTAGTTATTGGAGACACCACAGGGCTTTTGAACTCGCATCGTTCAGTATATTTGCTGACTTTGTCAACGAGGACAGGAAGGCGGTCAGTTGGACATCTTCGTATTCCTGGAAGCAAAACTAAGCAAAGAAAACAAACTGGGCAAATACTCACAGTCTCAAACTCTTCGCGGAACGCAATGTTTTCTGTTGCTGGCAAGGACGCGATCAGGGCCGAGAGTGCTCGCAGCGTTGCATGATCTTTTGGTGCTTGGCCTAAAATGAAGTTATATGGAGAGAGCACGACAAAACGGAGATACTCGCCTGCAACGAGATTAGTTACATATTTGACTAGAAGCATAATTCGGTCGTGGAGCATCTTAACAGCTGCACGCTGTGTGTGGAGATGAGACTCGACTGCAACAGTGGTTAATGGGCGACCATGTAGAGAACAAAGGCACGCACGGCTGGTACCGCTTCCTCCTCCACGTGCGGTCCAATCGACAGCAATGCGCTCTGCCTCGCCCGTTTCGACGCTGAATGGAACCTCGATGAAAACCGATCGCGATTTACGGTCACGGAGTTCGATGGTGGGTTCGTATGCCTTGAAAGGGAGATTCTGTGCGTTCACGTCGGAACTTGTGACAAGACTCATGGCGGGCTGCAGAGTGAGCAGGAGGGGCGTTGAGCAGTACCCTGTAAACTAGATCGCAAAATTAGCATTCAGGGGAAAGGTGTTTCATGAGCGACACACCTGTTCATGCAACGCAATGTGGCGTGCAGTGGGACGCTGGGCGACTGTGTACCAGCCAATGAACTCCAGCGAGGGAAACACCTGTTTGTCTAAAAGAAACATGAGCTGCGGGTGAGCAAGACGGCCAGTGGAGACTGACACTGATCACGCCGGGAGACAAGGAAGCCATGGTCGACGAGTTCGCCACCGTCTTCGACAGCAAGTTCAAATGTGTTGACGATCTCGACCTCCCGGCCGTTCTGTGTTCCCAGAAGAGCGCCGAGAACTGAGGAGAAATCAGAGACAGGGTCAATCGTGGATATCGGACGGACTAAAGGGGGAGCTCGAGTTTGTTTGGAGCTTTCGTCTGGTCAAATGCTCCGAGATGTTGAGAATGGGGAGAGGGTGTCTGTGTGGACGGGTTAGCGGAGGCGGTAGAATGATATCAAGCCACGGACAGCGAGAGAGTCAGTCCAGTTGCAGTATTAGACAAAACGACCGAGGGCTCGTCTGTATCCATCATGGTGTTGTGACAAGGCGCGTTAACGTGACAGGCGTCACATCAGCGCAACTTGCTCTTGACTTTGACGCGTCGACCGATTGTACAACATGTCTGGCTTTGACTTGGATAGGTCGTTCACTGTCAACGCCCATGACCCTCCTTCCGCCATCTCCCCCGACTCCCCCTCCGAGACCGAGAAGCTCCTCCTGGACTTTCTCCTCCAGTTTCGCCTCGGTGGCGAATTCGTCTACCGGTACGCGTCCGTGTCTTGCCCAGTCACTCTTTGACCCCGACGCGTAGAGACAAACTGAGGGCCAATCTACTCATGAAACAGCTCGTTCTCGAGGTCGACCTCAGACATGTCGGCCTTTACAATGACGAGTTGGTCCACGCGATCCAGAACGCACCCGCAGAGACCCTTCCCTTGGTGCGTGACGCGCGACAAACGCGTCGAATCTGATTTGTGCAGTTCGAAAATGCCGCCACCAAAGCAGCACGCTCTATTCTTTTCCCTTTGGTCGGTGTTGGATCAGAGGACGAGAGGAGGAAAAACGCAGAGGATGCCGTCGCAGCGATCCCTGGCGTCCAAATCAGCCTTCGATCCGGTCTCTCCATGCTTCAGTTTCGCGATCTCACCGCGAATACAATGAACAAACTCGTCCGCTGCCCCGGAATCGTCATCTCCGCCTCGGTTCTCTCATCACGCGCAACGAAACTCCATCTTCAATGTCGGGCATGCAGATCGACCAAGGACATCTATCCCGCTGGTGGAATGGGAGGAGTTGGCGGTGGTTCAGATCGGGGACTTCCCCGGCAATGCGACTCACAAGCACCAGCCGGACAAACGAAAGATTGCCCGATGGACCCATACCTCATTGTTCACTCAAAGTCGACTTTTGCCGACCAGCAGACGCTCAAGTTGCAAGAGGCTCCCGATATGGTCCCTGTCGGAGAGCTACCCAGACACATGCTGCTATCTGTTGACCGTCATTTGACTGGGAAGGTCGTTCCTGGCTCCAGAGTAATTGCGACTGGAATATATTCGACATTCCAATCTGCAAAGAAGGTACGCTCTGAAATTGGAAATTATGCATCACCTCAAGCGACTTTGTAGAAGAATGCCGGCGCTGCAGCACTTCGTCAGCCCTATCTACGTGTCGTGCACCTTGAACTCTCTTCGGGACCGACAAGCTCCTCCTCAAATCCGTTTGGACTCCAGTTTACGCCCGAAGAGGAGGAAGAGCTTGGAGTAATGGCCAGGAGCGAGGGATTCTACGAACGCTTTGCCCGCAGTGTTGCCCCCAGTATCTATGGCAGTCTTGGTACGGCGCTTCTCGCGTTATATCCTCGCGACTCATCCACGAACCAGATATTAAAAAGGCCATTACTTGTCTTTTGTTTGGCGGATCTAAGAAGATGCTTCCCGACGGCATGCGCCTTCGCGGCGACATCAACGTACTCCTCTTGGGTGATCCTGGGACTGCCAAAAGTCAGCTCCTCAAATTCGTCGAAAAGGTCGCACCTATCGCAGTTTATACGTCTGGGAAAGGGTCCAGTGCTGCCGGTCTCACTGCATCTGTTCAACGCGATACTGTCTCAGTGAGTGTTGGCAGGATCTTGCTAAAACCCATTTAATCGATCCCACTAGCGTGAATTCTATCTGGAAGGCGGCGCAATGGTGTTGGCCGACACGGGAGTAGTTTGCATCGACGAATTTGACAAGATGAGAGATGAAGATCGAGTAGCGATTCACGAAGCCATGGAGCAGCAAACAATCTCTATTGCCAAGGCCGGCATCACAACCGTACTCAACTCTCGAACGAGTGTTCTCGCTGCCGCTAACCCTGTATTTGGCCGATATGACGAAGGCCGTAGTCCCGGCGAGGTTTGTCGTACTGGCTCGCGTTTCTCTTCAGTGGCTTACATAGATTGGCAGAACATCGACTTTCAGACGACGATCTTGTCTCGTTTCGACATGATTTTCATCATCAAAGACGAGCACAATGAGCAGCGGGACAAGGTATGCTGTCGAGCTCCTGCTAACACTGGCTCAACAATAATTTAGATGATCGCTAGACATGTCATGAACACTCAAATGAACAGGCCAGAAGACAATGCCGACCAAGCTGTCGGAGAACTCAGTCTCGAGCTAATGAAGCGGTATATCGCCTACTGCAAGAGGTCTGTCTCTGCATTCGCAGCACGCGACAACATCTAAAGACATATAGTAAATGCGCACCGCGATTGTCCTCGGAGGCACAAGAAATGCTCAGCAGTCACTTTGTCAGCTTGCGTAAACAGGTCCAGCAAGTTGAGCGCGACAACGATGAACGAAGCTCCATTCCCATAACAATTCGGTATTATCAGTCCCCATATGGCTTTTGAATGTGGCTCACAATAACTTTCAGGCAGCTGGAAGCTATCATCCGGATATCAGAGTCTCTGGCCAAGATGACCCTCTCCACGACTGTGCAAAATCATCACGTCGAAGAAGCCATCCGTCTCTTCAAGTTCTCCACGATGGATGCTGTTTCGGCTGGCTCTGCGGATGGTCTCACGCGAGGCGAACTAAATGAAGAGATGGTCAAAATCGAGCGCGAACTACGACGGAGACTTCCTGTTGGGTGGAGCACAAGCTATCAGAGTCTCGTTCGCGAGTTCGTGACCCAACAGGGTTATTCCAGCCATGCGCTTGAACGTACGCTGTTTGTGATGGAGAAGAGCGAGGTGATACGGTTCACGGGTCAGGTCGGTACCCTGCTTCGTTCTTGTTATTTCTGTCTGACGAAATCTCACATCGAAACAGAAAAAAGTGGTTCATAGGTGAGTTGCGTACGGTTTGCTGTGATCTGAGTGCTGACATGCTGTCCAGGGTTGGTGTTTGATCTACTTTCAATGTACTACTATCCATGTGTATTTCTCACCTGGACTGCATTCAAAATGCTTACTTCCGCCCTTCCCGGGTCTCGGCTAAGCGTGGACATCCTTGGAGGCGGGCTCAAGACTCCGCATTACGGGACAGCTCAGCGTATAAAAAGTCGCCCTCGACGAGCATATGCCTCATTCCTCTACCATGTTCAAAGCCCGTCTTTTCGCTCTTCTCGCTGGTTTGGTCATGACATCGGCCCACGCTCTTCAGAGCCGCGATGACCTCGCGGTTCTTCATAACGGCCAAAATATCACTTGGGACTACTCGGACGCTATTCTTACCGACGACAATCTGTTCGGGATGGGTCTCCTTCGCAGCAACGCAGCTCTGCCGGCCACTGTTGTCGCCGAAGGGTGCGTCCACAAGCTTGTCCCGCAGTCCTATACAAATACATCCTCAGCTGGGAGGGCCCTGTCATTTTGAACATCGATGACCAAGACGTCATTCCGGCGACATACGTCCTGCAATACCCATTCTTCCAGAACGGGTCCACGTACAGTGCGTAGTTCACTGCGGAAACGGAGACTGACTCTAACGATGGCACGAATAGCTGCGCAGCTCTTTGAATACAGCACAACTACGCTGGAGATTACCGTACCCAAGGTCCGCAGCACGACCTTTGTGTGGGTCAATCAGCCTGGCCAGAATGTTTAGAGAAGTCGGCCGCAGAGTCGTGATAGCGTCCAAAATGATATCCATAACAGTGTCCGTCTTTGTTTGTTCAAAAGTTGTTGTTAAACAGCATTGAAAGTTGAGATGAGGAGTAGTCACCAGGAATTGGGTCCAGTCCGAAGTTGGTCCTAGTGGCTGACGCTCCACATCGTCTATCCCCGCCTAGCTCAATCGGATAGAGCGTCAGACTTTTAAGAGGTCCGTAAGGGCGGTATTTGAGATCTGAAGGCTGCGAGTTCGACCCTCGCGGTGGGCTATCATTGTTTTTTTTTTTTTTTGTTTTCTTTCAGATTTTGTCCCCCCCCGCCCCGTCTTTTCTCTTTGTTTGAATCCATTTTATAGCCCAGTGACGCTGGCTGTGTTTTGTTCTGGACCCCAAGGCACCAAGATAAAAACTAACGCTTGAACCAGCTTACAGATTGAAAAATAAAAATAAAAATAAAAAATAGTAGCCCACCGCGAGGGTCGAACTCGCAGCCTTCAGATTCCCAAATTCGCCTTGTCAACTACATTAAGAGTCTGACGCTCTATCCGATTGAGCTAGGCGGGGTCTCAACGGACTAAAATCAAGCAACTAGTAGTGACCGGTAAATGGATATGTCATGCGACGGTGGAGATATGGAATTATTAAAGCGTGGTTACTACTAGCACGAGCGAAGTCAATATGTACAGATGGAGTTTGAATGTTCAACTGTGACAGAGCGTGACTTACTTTCAACCACAAGCATTGTGCATCCCCGGTGCGCTGAGAAATCTGTTTTTCCGTTAATAACGAAAATGTCAAAAAGCAGAGGTGATATACTGCTTTTAACGCTACGCTGAGCCTATCGAGGATGACCACAGAAAGGATGCCATGCGTCTTTTCCAGGAACTAACGGGACCCACACATGGTCAACTGGTAGAAAATAGTGACAATGAGGTACCTATCCCTCCCTTGCTTTCTTATGCGTGAAGCTCAGCCCAGAAGCCCGAAATACACGCGCAAACACCGTCGCCAAATAATGTGCCCCAAAGTGCACAAGAAATGCCCATACGGAACATCTCGTATCTCAGTCCCCTCTCCAGCCCGGAGCCGGAGCAGGGAAGTATTTCTTTGCCCGTTACGGTGAAGAACGAAGAGTTAGAGGTCGTTATGTATCAAACAAGAAGGCGGGAACGACAACTTTACTAGGGTTACCCTCATCAAGTCCGAAGACAGGAAGGCCTTTGACGTTTGGAATGTGAACGCTTTCAATTTGGGAGAAGTTGAAGATGGGAGGAAGAGAGAAGGCTTTTCTCGCCCAGTTATTTCATATCATCTTGTCCCCCAAGGGCGCACGCACTGATGCTATTCCTCAGGCAATAGAACCCCAAAAAGCCGCCGTAGTAAGTGCTGCCCAATATCGACGTTCAAGCAAGCGGTAATACACGTTGGTAGTGTGACCCTGAAGCGCTCTTGGAACGAGCCTCTACCTATCGCCGCTGGTCTTCATGGTATGAGTTTTTTGGAATGCATGGCTACCCCGTAAAGTCGCATATCAATATCTTTGTCGATGAAATGCGTGAGTGCCTGGCTGCAGTTTTCCTTTACATCGTTCTAACGGCGTGTCAGGAACGACTGGAGGTTTCGACTATAGTCGGTTCGGAGAAGTCGCAACGAAGCACGTTTCTTTACTTCCACCCAGTGTGTTGAAGGAATGGGTAGGCGGCACACTGAAAACAGCATGGGGGGGGAGCAAACATCGCAGAGATGAACGGAAAATTGCCCCAGCTCGGAAAATCAAGTTGACGAAGGCGAGTGTCCACGAAGCGCTTCTGGACGGCCGGCTCGTTATTCCCTTCACGATCCTCAAGTGTGTCGGGTATCCAGTCAACTTATTCGAGAAGCTGGAGGAAGCCGAAGCCAAGGTACGCGTTAAGCCCAAGAAAACCAAAGGCCGAAAGCGGCGTGCCCCGAGTCCTGATACGCGGAGATCGACCAGAAAGCGGGTTAAGCTCGAGGCCGAGGTGGAATCAGAGGATGGTTTGGCATTGGTCCACGAAGAGAGTCCCGGGCGGCGCGGAGATCGCCACGCAAGGCGAAAGTTTGAACAATATTTACAATATTTCGCAGGCGGGGAAAAGCCTGTTAGTGTAGAACTTCATGCCTCTGCGTCTTGCCAAAACTGCATGTTTTCGTGGGTGTTTGCGATCAGGTAATTCAAGTTGATGGCGCAGCAATCACTTCAAGGCTGTACTGACCAGCTCTCCCTTTCACCATGTCCTCCACGCAGTTTGGGCCCCCCGGCACTGTCTTCGATGAGGACTTTAACAAGAGCCTCGACTTTGTGTCGTTTCAAAGTCCAAACGATATCCTCGCGCCTCATCCAGATCTCTTCGAACTCGAGTTGGACAGTAACCTTGCTGGGTTCGACGACGAGCAACTGCAGCTCCTTGCAATCGGACCCCACGATGCATACTCGTTGTTTCGCTCGGATACACCCACGCGCGGACCACCTTCCAATGTAACGGCCTCCTCCGAGTCAGCCTACGACTCGCTGTCGTCCTACTCGGAAAGCTTCTATAACTACCCGCATTCCCCGCAGCCACCGTCCAACTACTCCTTCCCCTTGGACCTCGAAATGGACTTTCAGCGTATTCGTGTCGAAGCTGCATCAGAATACGCCGCAGCTCAGGCCAGCTCTGATGCCGCAGCAAACGCCCGCATGTCCTTTGGCGCCAGCCCAGCGGCTGACACGTCCCGCAGCACCAAGATTTACTCAAAAGCTTTTAATCCGAGAGCTACCTTCTCAGATTACGGTCCCTCGACTCGTCGCCCATCTGTTCCAGTTGACATCTACGGACAACTCGACTTTAACAACGCCGGACCCACTGTTTCCCCATCCCACATCTCCTCGCACCTCCCCACTATCGCTGCAGGACAGATGGCTCACGTCCCAGAGGAAGAAGACTATAAAGTCGGGGATGAGCGCAAGAAGTACAAATGCCCTTCGTGTCCTCGAGGCGCGTTCCCCCCCGTTGCATCATATTGGCGATATTAACGTGTCTCTAGCATTCGCTCGACAGTACAATCTCAAAACCCACATGGCGACGCACGACCCCAACCGACTCAAGCCCCATGTCTGCCCCCACCGGTCTTGCGGTCGTTCCTTCAGTCGCAAGCACGATTTGGGACGACATCTCGTCAGCATCCATCGCGACGAGTCCCAACGCGAGGGCTCCGTCTGCTCATCCCATCATTCAATTGGATCGAAGCAGTCTATCGGTGTAGAACAAGGCACTCGTCGATGGTGCGACCGCTGCGGAAAGGGACTTGTTGGTCACGCAGTTGACTGCGACTGCACTTAGATGTTTCTCTTTGAATTGTGAGATTGCGATTTCCGAAGTTTACCGCAGCTAATCTTTGCGCAGGCTTACGTTAAACCTGTTGCCGCCTCCGCAGCTCTGGCCACGCAAGCGCGAAAGCGCAGCGGTCAGAGATCTGTGTCGCTTCCCGCGTCATTCGATGAGTCACGTATCGTACCGCCCTGGATTGTCCTTGGCCCCGCGACGAACGTGTCCTCGACATGAATATTGATTTATGTTTATCTGGGCAATTTAATGCTCGACGATGTTTAATGTTATCTACCAATTCCAATCTTTGTACTCCGTGGTGTGGATTGGATTGGATTGGATTGATACACGGCACGGTCCCGCTGAGGAACGCCGGGTTCCAGGAAGTATCCCGGTGTACAAAGCACGCTAAATTACACCTTCGTCCCTGGACTCTTCTAAGTCCCGATAGCCGAGCTCACGCATCCGTAACGAGGCACCTGCCCCGTCAACTCTACGCTGTAGAACTACCAAAGACCTGAAAAGCAAAAGTTAACAGATGAACGGTGAATCAAAGCCCAACTCATGCACGCAACAAGGCAGTCGCGTAGAAGAACCTCAAAAACGTCACACGCAATTTGGCGACATTGGCGATTGACGCGCACGGTCAACACAACCATCTGGAGAGCAATTGTCCGTGTCAGTCTCATAGACCTGGGGCCCTCGGCAGACTTGATCTCCATGGTTGTAAGAACGATAACGTCGATATTCGCGTTGCGTCGCCAGATTGGCGTGGTCCGGATGCCACAAGACTTCCAGAGCGAGACGATGGGTGGAGAGCAAGAGCGAGGCAGTGCAGTGCCTCTGTGTCCGCACCATGGAGAGATAGTGTCGCATACAGGAAGTAATTTTGGGAGCCGGATTGTTTTCTTGCGAGGCCCTAGGCAGCCTTGGAGGAGATGGAGTTTCTCCGATGTGTCGATTTTCGCGCTGCATCCGTACTAGCATCCGTCTCATGATCCTAGCAATAGCCTGTAACCGTCGAGGTACTTGTATTGCACGATATGCTGATCTGGGATGCAAATGGAAGTCGCGTCGCTGCTTTGATCAAGTCGGTCACTCAAAAGTGGTGGCGGCTTGCCGGTTCAATGACCGTCGAGTGCGCCATACACGTTTTCTACGAGGCCGAGTAGATAGATCAGACAGCGAAGCGCGATAATCAGGCGTCGAATTCGGAGGGGCTTGATACCCGTCTCTGCGAGTAACAGCACGGTTGCTGAGCAGATTGTACCTTGATGAGCAGTTGCCAGTGGAAGCTGAGTTGATCCTTCGAAGATGTACATCCTGGGGCTTGACGACATTTTGCAGCCGTGGACCGTTGGCAGTTTGACAGTTCCATGTACAAGATCTTCAGCTCTTCTGAAATTAGTCTTCCAGTCGTATTGGCAAGCCCAAATGTCACTGTGCCCGCAAAAGCGCGCCGTGCGTGCGTTCAAGTCGTAGTAATGCGCGACGAAGTTGCGCGTAGATGTATATCAAGTCGTCATTGATGGTGAGCTGAATTTCCGAGGTGGAAAGCAGGAGAAAGAGGCGAAAGCTCATTTGTCGAGCACCGTACTCGAGTCTCCAGCGTTCGCACTTTGCCCTGAAGCGTGGAGATCCTGCCTAAGCTCGGAAGATCACCATGATGTCGGACGACTGCGAATAGGTTTGCCGCCGCACCATCGCAGTGGCTCAAGTCGCTCAATTAGACGCTGACAGTCACGCTGTATCATTTCGGCTGCATCGTTGTGACATGTGAAGATGGGGTGATGCGCGTGATGGACAGGCAGCAGGCGAGAACGACGGTGGAGACGACGCCGCAGGAGGACCATTGAACGGGTAGATGAGAGTGTCCGAGTCCTCGTTTGCAAGCAAGCTCAAGTCTCTTCTGAACGGGAGAACAGAGCAGTTGCGCGCAATGCGAGCTGGATGCGGACAAGTCAAAACCGCTGATAGCTCACAAGGACGACCACTCGAGAAGAGGGGGTGCCGCGCTCCGGACAACGAGTGGAGGACGTCGCAGGGTATGAGAGATGACTAGGAAGGCTCTGTATAGCCGTTCGTTGTGGTTGGCACAGTGCCGCGATGGAACCAAAAGAAAGTGAAAGTGAAGAAAAAAATGAGATTAACGACCATTCGCCGCCGCCAGAGCACATTATAGGCCGCCCAAGCTCGTGCAAGCTCCGGGGACACATGCAACCACTCTTTGCGGTGGCA